CAAGGCCTCGTGGGCTCCCATGCAGTTTGTCATGGCCTCACGGGCTCCCGTGCAGTTTGTCATGTCCTCGTGGGTTCCCGTACAGTTTGTCATGTCCTCGTGGGCTCCCGTGCAGTTTGTCATGTCCTCGTGGGCTCCCATGCAGTTTGTCATGTCCTCGTGGGCTCCCATGCAGTTTGTCATGTCCTCGTGGGCTCCCGTGCAGTTGGGCATGTCCTCATGGGCTCCCGTGCAGTTTGTCATGTCCTCGTGGGCTCCCGTGCAGTTTGTCATGTCCTCGTGGGCTCCCATGCAGTTTGTCATGTCCTCGTGGGCTCCCGTGCAGTTTGTCATGTCCTCGTGGGCTCCCGTGCAGTTTGTCATGTCCTCGTGGGCTCCCGTGCAGTTGGGCATGGCCTCGTGCGTTCCCATGCAGTTTGTCATGTCCTCGTGGGCTCCCGTGCAGTTTGTCATGTCCTCGTGGGCTCCTGTGCAGTTTGTCATGTCCTCGTGGGCTCCCGTGCAGTTTGTCATGTCCTCGTGGGCTCCCGTGCAGTTTGGCATCTTCTCGTGGGCTCCCGTGCAGTTGGGCATGTCCTCGTGGGCTCCTGTGCAGTTTGTCATGTCCTCGTGGGCTCCCGTGCAGTTGGGCATGTCCTCATGGGCTACCGTGCAGTTTGGCATGTCCTCGTGGGCTCCTGTGCAGTTGGGCATCTTCTCGTGGGTTCCCGTGCAGTTTGTCATGTCCTCGTGGGCTCCCGTGCAGTTTGTCATGTCCTCGTGGGCTCCCGTGCAGTTGGGCATGTCCTCGTGGGCTCCCGTGCAGTTTGTCATGTCCTCGTGGGCTCCCGTGCAGTTTGGCATGTCCTCGTGGGCTCCTGTGCAGTTGGGCATGTCCTCATGGGCTCCCGTGCAGTTTGTCATGTCCTCGTGGGCTCCCGTGCAGTTGGGCATCTTCTCGTGGGCTCCCGTGCAGTTTGGCATGTCCTCATGGGCTCCCGTGCAGTTGGGCATGTCCTCGTGGGCTCCCGTGCAGTTTGTCATGTCCTCGTGGGCTCCCGTGCAGTTGGGCATGTCCTCGTGGGCTACCGTGCAGTTTGGCATGTCCTCGTGGGCTCCCGTGCAGTTGGGCATCTTCTCGTGGGTTCCCGTGCAGTTTGTCATGTCCTCGTGGGCTCCCGTGCAGTTTGTCATGTCCTCGTGGGCTCCCGTGCAGTTGGGCATGTCCTCGTGGGCTCCCGTGCAGTTTGTCATGTCCTCGTGGGCTCCTGTGCAGTTGGGCATGTCCTCATGGGCTCCCTTGCAGTTTGTCATGTCCTCGTGGGCTCCCGTGCAGTTGGGCATCTTCTCGTGGGCTCCCGTGCAGTTTGGCATGTCCTCATGGGCTCCCGTGCAGTTGGGCATGTTCTTGTGGGCTTCCATGCAGTTTGTCATGTTCTCGTGGGCTCCCGTGCAGTTTATCATGTCCTCGTGGGCTCCCATGCAGTTTGTCATGTCCTCGTGGGCTCCCGTGCAGTTTGGCATGTTCTCGTGGGCTCCCTGCAGTTTGTCATGTCCTCGTGGGCTCCCGTGCAGTTGGGCATGTCCTCGTGGGTTCCCGTGCAGTTTGTCATGTCCTCGTGGGCTCCCGTGCAGTTTGTCATGTCCTCGTGGGCTCCCGTGCAGTTTGTCATGTCCTCGTGGGCTCCCGTGCAGTTTGTCATGTCCTCGTGGGCTCCCGTGCAGTTGGGCATGTAATCATGGGCTCCCGTGCAGTTGGGCATGTCCTCGTGGGCTCCCGTGCAGTTTGTCATGTCCTTGTGGGCTCCCGTGCAGTTTGTCATGTCCTCGTGGGCTCCCGTGCAGTTTGTCATGTCCTCGTGGGCTCCCGTGCAGTTGGGCATGTCCTCGTGGGCTCCTGTGCAGTTTGGCATGTTCTCGTGGGTTCCCGTGCAGTTTGTCATGTCCTCGTGGGCTCCCGTGCAGTTGGGCATCTTCTCGTGGGCTCCCGTGCAGTTGGGCATGTTCTCGTGGGTTCCCGTGCGGTTTGTCATGTCCTCGTGGGCTCCCGTGCAGTTTGGCATCTTCTCGTGGGTTCCCGTGCAGTTTGTCATGTCCTCGTGGGCTCCCGTGCAGTTTGTCATGTCCTCGTGGGCTCCTGTGCAGTTGGGCATGTCCTCGTGGGTTCCCGTGCAGTTTGTCATGTCCTCGTGGGCTCCTGTCCAGTTGGGCATGTCTCGTGGGCTCCCGTGCAGTTTGGCATGTCCTCGTGGGCTCCCGTGCAGTTTGGCATGTCCTCGTGGGCTCCCGTGCAGTTTGGCATGTCCTCGTGGGCTCCCGTGCAGTTGGGCATGTTCTCGTGGGCTCCTGTGCAGTTTGTCATGTCCTCGTGGGCTCCCGTGCAGTTTATCATGTCCTCGTGGGCTCCCGTGCAGTTTGTCATCTTCTCGTGGGCTACCGTGCAGTTGGGCATGTTCTCGTGGGCTCCCGTGCAGTTTGGCATGTTCTCGTGGGCTCCCGTGCAGTTGGGCATGTCCTCGTGGGCTCCCGTGCAGTTTGTCATGTCCTCGTGGGCTCCCGTGCAGTTTGTCATGTCCTCGTGGGCTCCCGTGCAGTTTGTCATGTCCTCGTGGGCTCCCGTGCAGTTTGGCATCTTCTCGTGGGCTCCCGTGCTGTTGGGCATGTCCTCGTGGGCTCCCGTGCAGTTTGTCATGTCCTCGTGGGCTCCCGTGCAGTTGGGCATGTCCTCATGGGCTACCGTGCAGTTTGTCATGTCCTCGTGGGCTCCCGTGCAGTTTGGCATGTTCTCGTGGGCTCCCGTGCTGTTGGGCATGTTCTCGTGGGCTCCCGTGCAGTTTGTCATGTTCTCGTGGGCTCCCGTGCAGTTTGTCATGTCCTCGTGGGCTCCCGTGCAGTTGGGCATGTCCTTGTGCGCTACCGTGCAGTTTGGCATGTCCTCGTGGGCTCCCGTGCAGTTTGGCATCTTCTCGTGGGCTCCCGTGCTGTTGGGCATGTTCTCGTGGGCTCCCGTGCAGTTTGTCATGTCCTCGTGGGCTCCCGTGCAGTTTTTCATGTCCTCGTGGGCTTCCGCGCAGTTGGGCATGTTCTCGTGGGCTCCCGTGCAGTTTGTCATGTCCTCGTGGGCTCCCGTGCAGTTTTTCATGTCCTCGTGGGCTCCCGTGCAGTTTGGCATGTTCTCGTGGGCTCCCGTGCTGTTGGGCATGTTCTCGTGGGCTCCCGTGCAGTTTGTCATGTCCTCGTGGGCTCCCGTGCAGTTTGTCATGTCCTCGTGGGCTCCCGTGCAGTTTGGCATCTTCTCGTGGGCTCCCGCGCAGTTGGGCATGTTCTCGTGGGCTCCCGTGCAGTTTGTCATGTCCTCGTGGGCTCCCGTGCAGTTTTTCATGTCCTTGTGGGCTCCCGTGTAGTTTGTCATGTCCTCGTGGGCTCCCGTGCAGTTTGGCATCTTCTCGTGGGCTCCCGTGCAGTGGGCATGTCCTCGTGGGCTCCCGTGCAGTTTTTCATGTCCTCGTGGGCTCCCGTGCAGTTTGGCATGTTCTCGTGGGCTCCCGTGCTGTTGGGCATGTTCTCGTGGGCTCCCGTGCAGTTTGTCATGTCCTCGTGGGCTCCCGTGCAGTTTGGCATCTTCTCGTGGGCTCCCGTGCAGTGGGCATGTCCTCGTGGGCTCCCGTGCAGTTTTTCATGTCCTCGTGGGCTCCCGTGCAGTTTGGCATGTTCTCGTGGGCTCCCGTGCTGTTGGGCATGTTCTCGTGGGCTCCCGTGCAGTTTGTCATGTCCTCGTGGGCTCCCGTGCAGTTTGTCATGTCCTCGTGGGCTCCCGTGCAGTTTGTCAAGTCCTCGTGGGCTCCCGTGCAGTTTGTCATGTCCTCGTGGGCTCCCGTGCAGTTTGTCATGTCCTCGTGGGCTCCCGTGCAGTTTGTCATGTTCTCGTGGGCTCCCGTGCAGTTTGGCATGTCCTCGTGGGCTCCCGTGCAGTTTGGCATGTCCTCGTGGGCTCCCGTGCAGTTGGGCATGTTCTCGTGGGCTCCCGTGCAGTTTGGCATGCCCATTGGTGTCCTCCTGGCTCAGCTCACATTTGGGCAGTCATGTTTGTGAGGCTTTATGGGTGTAGCTTCTGATGTTCCAAGAGTCACAATCTCACAGCTAAATCCCTGCTCCTCTGGCTCTTACAGTTTTTCCACCCCTCTTCTGGAATGTTCCCAAAGCCGCATGGGTGGGAGTGTTTTGTAGATGTATCCATTGGGACCAGGCTCCACAACTCTATTTTGATTGGCTGTGGTTTTCTATAGCGGTCCCTGTCTGTTGCTAAGAGAAGTTTCCTTGACGAGAGGGTAAAGACTGCATTATCTCTACAGTAGACTTTGACATGGATTCTGTCAGTCACCTATGGTTTGACTTGAACATTTTTTTAACTTAAAAATGGTTCCTCACCAGACCAATGACTCCCTGCAGTGAACATTTTCAAGTAAAGCTGACTGGACAAAGGGTGTGCTGTGTGACACAGGGCAGTCCCCAATGCCACTACAACGGATGGTATGTGATAGAGACCGGGGCAAGATGGAGAAATGGAGCCATTTTTAAAAACTCTATTTCTCCTTTTAAAAAAGGGAAGAGGGCAGATGGGGAGTATTGGGAAATGTGTGGGATTGAGACGCATGATGTGAAATTCTCAAAGAATCAATAAAAAATTAAAAGAAAAGTGGTAAATGGTTCCTTATTCTTTTTTTTTTTTCTTTTTTCTTTTTGGCCAGGCTGGCCTAGAACTCACAAGTGCTGAGATTAAAGGTATGTGCGCCACCACAGACTTAAAAGGGGTAGAAACCATGGATCTAAGCATTGTAACTATCTTTGGATTTGTACAGAGATTTTTCTCACACAGCACAAACCCTGTGCAGCAGGAGTTTTTAGACAGGCGAGGTGTTCTGAATTTTGGTTGACTGTAGCTTGGTTTGGACACAGCAATCACAAGAGCTACCCAAGAGAGGCAGAAGCACTGGCTTAGTTCCCTGTTCCCTTCTTACCAGGCGCTGCTGTGTGGGTTACTTGTGACATGTCCTGAAGATCCGCTGAGGTATTTAGAGAAAATGATCATAATTATCATTCAGAATGGCCTGGAAAACCTTCTTTGGTAAGTGAGGGGAATGTTTTGAAGGCCAAGAACTTCAAATAGTGTCATGATACGGTCTTGCCAATGAATGCTTCAAATCAGGGCCTTGTTAAAGAATCCTCCGTAAGCTGTTAGGTCCCCAGTATTTAACGTGAACAAATATGCTCACTGATTTTCCAGTGTGAGGGTGCAGTGAGCTGTTTGTGCTCCTAGGCCAGTGTTTCAGGTGAGGATGATAGAAAGTGACACACCGTTCCCGGAAGCTCAGCAAATTCCGGTGATTCTGACCTGCCCCCTCGGGGAAAATATCCCCCCCCCACCTGCCCCCTCAGGAGAAATACCCTCCCCCCCACACCTGCCCCCTCAGGAGAAATACCCTCCCCCCCCACCTGCCCCCTCAGGAGAAATACCCTCCCCCCCACACCTGCCCCCTCAGGAGAAATACCCTCCCCCCTACACCTGTCCCCTCAGGAGAAATACCCTCCCCCCCACACCTGCCCCCTCAGGAGAAATACCCTCCTCCCCACACCTGCCCCCTCAGGAGAAATACCCTCCCACTCCCACTCCTCTCCCCCACATGAGAATCAGTGGCCCAGTTGTAGATTTACTTCAAATGGAATTAATCTTGACTTTGCCCTCTAATTTTATTAAAGGGACATGTGCATTGATCCATCACTGAAACCAAAAATTCGAAGACTTTCTGAAACTTACTTGGAACAACTTTTTGGACTGGATGATCAGCTGGTAATTAATCAAGCACTTTGAAACACATCTTAAGTTCAGATGGAAATACCCAAGCAGATTGGAGGAGGTTTTACTGGGGGTAGGGGTGTGAGGTCAGAATTTGAATTGAGGCCACCTAGGAAATGGAGAGGATAATCCACACAGAGCCAAACAAGTCCCCAGTTCTAAGGAATGGCCAGGCAAATTCTCCTTTCTGACTGTCATTTTCCCTCTCTTCCTCTCATGAACAGAAATAGCATTGTGAAACCTGGGTTTATAGCACACCCTGCTGAGGCAGGAGGATGGGGAGATTGAAGAGCATCTTGGGTTATTGACAAGATCCTCTCTCAAAACCAAAGCAAAAGCCTCAGAGAACTCACGGAAGCAGGGTGTTCTCTTTCCTTCCTAGTTACACCCTTTTGTCTTCCATCCCTTGCTGTCTGCTGGCAGCCCCAGTGGATGAGGATAAAGGGTAAAGTTATGACCAAAATGTTAATGTGATTGAGTTTGAAAGCCAGACCTGGCTGTCCCTGAAACGAGGAGCCTGCTCCAGCAGCTGCCTTTGGTCCTCTAAAGAGAACAAGGGAGTGTACACGACATGGAAATTTTTAGGACTCTGTGTGCCTGTGTGTCTGTTGGCAAAAAGTACACGGAGAGAGATGTGAACAAAAATTAGATTTGCTTAGGACAGTGTATGATTCTTGGTGATGTCAGGGGATGTGATCTGAGTATGTCCAAGTAAAACTTGGGAGCTCTCAGTAAAGCTGGGCATTGAAAACTGCAGTCAAAGTCATATTGAAAGCAGGACTGTAGTTAGCCTCCATCCTCAGAGAAACAGATGTGGAGGACTGGGCTGGTTCTCCCAGGTCTGGGATTACCCGGCGGCACCGGTGCATGGGCTAGAAACCATGCCTCTGATCAGAACTGATGTGCCTTACATTAATCTACATTTCATCAACTACAGAGCGCTGATCTACTGTAGAATGCAGATATTGTAAGCTATGTTCTTGGAGATATTTGGGAACAACCTCAGGGATTAAAAGAGAGGTGGGGGGGGGGTCAGGAGTCTAGGTCCTCCATTTCCATCTTTTCTCTCTAGACTAAGTTTGCTTTCAGTGTTATTTTGATTGAAAAAGAAACCCATTGCTGTAAACATGTTAATGTGTTTGAAAACCTTGATGGAGAGGGAGAGTAAACTTCATGGTGAGTATTTTGATAAGGATCATAGAGTACACAAAATCAGGTTGCACCAATGCCTGTAGAAGTCCCATGGAATCTTTAAACTACCGGGAAGAATTCCAAGAGGCATCAACAATTCAGACCCAAAGCTTTACTAGAGAATGGATTTTCTTTGTGATGTCAAAGCACAGAAAATAGAATGATGGAAGCTGATTCAGACTTTGAAAGGGGCGTGGTAATCTGCCAAGGTTAGAACATATGTCATGTAAGCTGACAAAAGGAGCTATGGGATTTGACCTTGCAATAACACTGAGGAAAGTGTTTAAGCTTAGATATGAAAATGTGAATCTCAAGGTGCTCCAGATTGCTTACTTAGAGAGCTCAGCCTATGTCAGATGCAGATTAATTTACTCCTTCACACTCAGAGGAGAAATAACAACATTGAATGAAACACTAATCCTGAGTGTATTTGACATTTCAAATCATCATGTAGCAATATTAGCTTTATTTTTAAAGAAATTTCTATTTTATACTTTTCTGTCTAGTTATAGTGGCTAGCAAGGAGGTGTAGTGATTTACTTTTTTATGATTTTTGTTTTCTGTTTTTCAAGACAGGGTTTCTCTGTGTAACAACCCTGGCTGTCCTGGAACTTGCTTTGTAGACCAGGCTGACCTCGAACTCACAGAGATCCACCTGTCTATGCTTCCTGACATTGGGATCAAAGGTATACACCACCACACCTGACTGATTTTCACAAAAATTTAAAGGTCACAAACTATTGCACTTTTTGCATTGCTTAAGGTTGCATTGCAGGATTTGGCAGTCTTGGGCTGCCTATCTGCCTGTTTATAAAATATAATGTGTCTTGTTACATAGAAGAGTGGACACAGGGAGCTGTGCAAGCCAAAAAAATGCTCTTCAAAAGCTGAAATTGCTTTCATAACTACAGACAGATGAGAGACTTGACTTTTGTGAGGAGGGTAACCCTAGAGACTCAACTCCCATTTCTTAGGAAATGAAATCTCCATGTGTGCCTACTAATGACAAGAGATGCACACTCAGAAAACTTCTCATGATGGAAAAGCTGAAACATAGCAGGAAAGTGAGAAAAGTTAGTGCCGTTACGCAGCCTACACGACAGTTGTCCCTTCGCCAGTCTTTTTAGTTTATTTCCCCGTGTCCTCTGTGTCGGAATATTGGAAGACCAATCTTAGGACTTAATTTTAAAACCCTAAGTGTGCATGTCTGACAGGAAAAGATGGCTTTAGAGAACATAAGATCAATGCCAGGGGAGAGCATGGTGGCATCTTCCAGGGAGATCTCTAGTGGTGGTCTTCCCAAAGACAAACCGAGTCAAACATCCTCCAAACTACAAATTACCTTCCCAAATGCTGGGGAAAACTGAAGCAGGAAGGACACAGTTGCCTGTGTAACCCACCCCCTAACCTCAGGCAGCTCGGCATATAGGGAGATGCCATGCCCTGTTGTAAATGACTCTGACTCAGTTGCACATGGCTGGATTATATAGGCTGGAGCTGACGCAAGGGGGTTCTGTCTATGTAGCTTCGAGGCTGCCCTCATCCCTGATGGGTAAAGGCTTTCTGGGTGCAGCCTGCTGGGGGAAAGAGCACCCCCACTCCTGTAAATAACCCCTCACCTGTACTCTGTAAGGAAGCCCAGCAAACTGAGTTCCTCAGCTTGAACTTTGGCCGACTTCTGCTGCACTCTGTTATTGGAACATTAGGAGACAGGCTAGACAGTATCTGTATCTCCCCTGGGAAGGGGTTTTAGTGCCAGCGGGGCCAACTGTAGTTTGGCCCTTTATCATTTCCAGCCTTGAAATGAACCTGGGGCACATGCATCTCTCAGGGACTTAGAGGCTGTCTGAGGCTGTGGGACTAGGAAGAGATTGTTTCTTTCACAGTCTCCTAACATCTGGTGGAAGAGCTGTTGCCAAGCCAGTGCCCACGAACTGGAGTCTGGAATTCCAAGGTAACGGGCAGAGTCCTGCACCCTTGGTTTGCAGATGTGCTGTGGCTTGCATCACATGATGCATCATGGCTTCAGCACTGAACCCTAATCTCTGATTTTTCTGGGCGTTGGACATAGTCGCAACCAACACTGTTCCCTGGTACTTAGTTCTAGGCTGGATGAACTGAACACTGGACAGATTCTGTGGCTCTCGTTGCTGTCTGTAGAGTGGGCTTCTCTAACTGCTTTGGTGCTAGGGAAGAAAAGCTATGCAGCCTGTTTACTTCTGTACTGGCTAAAGTCACTTTCGCCTGGTTGCTGTAGCCCTGGCTTTGAGCCACAAGTCTACCCAGAGCAGTGCAGGTATTGCTTCCTGTCCAGTGTTGTGCAGTCTTGGCAGGCAGTGGGCGCAGGTGGTATGTTAGCTAGGGTTATGCCAATTTGACTTAAAGTAAAGTCATCTGAGAGAAAGACTCCATAAGATTGGGCTGTTGGCAAGACGGTAGGGCATTTTCTCAGTGATTGATGCCTCCCTGTGTGCCATCTCTGGGCTGCTGGTCCTGGGTTCTATAAGAAAGCAGGCTGAGGAAGCCATGAAGAGTGTCTTAGTCACTGTTCTGTTGCTATGAAGAGACATCATGACCAAGGCAAGTCTTAGGGAAGAGGTCATCTAATTAGGGCTTGCGTTACAGGTTAAGCGGGTGCTTGGAGCCTGATAAGAGCACATGGGAGCATGGTGGCCTTCTAGCACTAGAGGTGTAGCTGAGGACTACATCCTGATCCACAGACATCAGGCAGACACAAACACTGACCTGGTGTGTGCTTTTTGAAACCTCCAGTCCCACCCCCAGTGACACACTTCCTCCAACAAGGCCACACCTCTTAATCCTAATCCTTCTCAAATAGTTCCACTACTTGGTGACCAGGCATTCAAATATATGAGCCTATGGGACCAGTCTCACTCAAAACCACCCCAAGGAGCAAGCTAGTAAGCAGTATCCTCCATGGCCTCTTCATCAGCTCCTGCCTCCAGGTTCCTGCCCTCTTTGAGTTCCTGTCCTGACTTCCTTCAATGATGGACCCAGATGTGGAAGTGTAAGCCAAACAAACCCTTTCCTCCCCAACTTGCTTTTGGTCATGGTGCTTTATCACAGCAATAGGAACTCTGACCAAGACTGGTGGTGACAGCTGCCTTTAGTGACTTCAGGTGTAACATAGGAACCTCAGGCTAGGCTGTCCACAGTTTCTTTTCCCAGAGCTGAACAGGATCCCAGTGTCTGACCATCTGTTAACTGTGGCATCCAGACTACTGCAGCCCCAAGGAGAGGCTTGTGGGGACAGACTGGATACCCTCAATGCACTCTCCTGGTTCTTTCTGAACAACACATCAGCAGGCACTCAGATAGTGTTCTGAGATTGGACTTCTTTTTACTGTTGGAACAGTAGTTGTCTTAGGGTTTTCTATTGCTGTGAAGAGACATCATGACCATGGCAACTCTTTTTTTTTTTTTTTTTTGGTTTTACGAGACAGGGCTTCTCTGTATTGTTTTGGAGGCTGTCGGTCCAGCCCAGCCTCGAACTCACAGAGATCTGCCTGCCTCTGCCTCCCGAGTGCTGGGATTAAAGGTGTGCACCACCACCGCCCGGCCGACCATGGCAACTCTTAGAAAGAAAACGTTTAATTGGGGCTGGCCCACCGTTGGGAGGTTCAGTCCATTGTCATCATGACGGGAACTTGGTCGTGTGCATGGAGAGGCAGTGCTCGAGCTGAGAGAGCTACATCCTGACTCAGAGACAACAGGAAGTCGAAGCCTGTCACACTGAGGGCAGCTGGAGAGACATACCTCAAAGCCATCTCCACAGTGATATA